AGTAAGCAGATACACATCGTTGTTGACGTCGGTATCTGTCGACGTTTCGCTGTCTGCTCGTCCGGACGGAACAGTTGTGCCCTTGCGGTTCTTCCACAGCATACACCGCCCGCCATTGGCTAGCACAATGGTTTTGAACGTCTCAAAGCCCCCAGTGATATTCTCCATACAGTAAATACACCAGCCTTGCAAAAGTTGATTCGCATTCTTTTTTGCCCGCTGCCGAGACTTTTCCAGAGATACATGAAACTTCTTCTCATTGTCTTTGTCGCGGAGCTTGTACTGCTCTGGATCGAGTACTTCGTCCTTCTCGAGACAAGCATCAATAAAGTCCGTCGAGATAACCAAGGGGGCGTAAGCAAGGGCAGTCACAAATTTCTGCGTCCGAACAATGTTAGGAGCTGCAAGATGGGTAGCTTTGCTGGCGTCGGTAGTAACAAAAATCCCGAGGTTGCGAAGTTGCTTCTAAAAAACCCATTAGCGGCACGGGCATAGACGTGGATGCAGAATATACTTGCCTTGTCACGCTCTTCACCTTTGGCGTTGTTCACCCACTTCTTGTATCCAGAGATGACCAGGCGAATGCTGGGAACATCCTCGCGTTTGACCTTTTTGGCATCACTATCTTCTGACTCGTCGGCACCGTCTACTTCATCCATCGATCTTTTCCGACCCAGCTGAATACGATCAGGATCTGATTTGCGCCGTCCGCCATAGATAACGCCACCCTTGCGTTTACTCTCTTTGTTGAAGAGAAGGATATCTTCCGCTTGTGCGTGTAGTCGAGACGCTGCAATTTCCTTGGATTTGCGACTATTTGTTGTTGATGGGGTAACGTTCTCCTTCCCCGGTGCAACCAATCTGGAGGTCACTGGGGTTTGAGGCTTCCGACTAGTGAGGCCACCTTTGGAGGACTGTTCGTTCTTGGTCTTTCTCGTAGACAGCGGGTGTTTGGCCTCGACTGCATTTTGATCCGCCTGATCGGTTGGTTCGTTATCGGCGCCATCCGTCGTCTCGGAGTCATCATCGGGGAAGAAATGTTGCTCCAGGACATTGCGATCCAACTGAGTGTAGCCAACTACATCGCCGAGATTTGTGCGCTGAGGAAAGTGCGTGTATCTGCTGTCGGTTATACTTTGCATCTTCCATCGTGCGTAGCTCTCTTCTAACCAGAGATGGTTGACGATATGGACTCCCCATTCCTTTGCAGCCGCGCACTTCTCGCTATGGTCGTGGGCGGTGATGAGATGGGTATTGTCCTGCTTGAGGGTTTTGGTGCATGTTGCACCAGTGGCAGCAATCAGATTTTCCAGGTACGCTCTAGCTTCACCGGTGTAGTTTGAGAGACTTATGACCAGGCCATGAAAGCCCAAAAGTCCATCCTTGGCCACTGGATAGTGTAACATGCGTCGCATTGGGGATGTCCACTCGTCAGTCTGTATCAGGAAGTAGAGCCAGGACAGGTTTCCCACATCTTTCCCGGTCCTCGAGGCTGTCTTGTAATCCCTCCCTTCTCGATACTTGCAGATGTACATATCGGCTTGAGACACCGAGTCCGTGACTGTCCCGCCACCGGCTGTAATGAGACCATCCAGAATGCCACGAAGATATGGAGAAATACCCAAGTCGCTCGCTAGCATAACGGCCTTCTTCTTGAAAACTTTCTGCAACTTCCGCGGCGGACTGGGATTTTGTTTCAATTGGACAGGGTCGGGATGTGCAGCCCCATCCACTTGGGTCTTGCGCCTTGCGGTAGGAGCCCTGCCGGTGGCGGGTTTTGTTATCTCTGAGTCTGGAAGCATGTAGGGATCCTCGCCAATTTTTCTTCCCAACTTTAAACAATCGTCCACCCAGTGAGGTAACACGACTTTAACAGGGAGTTTCTTCTTTTCCGCAACTGTGACAGCTTCTGAATCCATAGACAAGGCGATGATATGAGTAACTTGGCTTGTGAGCTTCGTAGAGAACACGCCTCCCATGGCGAGTATTCCCCCTGCTATTGCATCAGCGTCTCCTTGCGGCAAGTCGACAACACAAGCAACAACGTCTGACATGAAGTAGCGAGGGTCAGGACTGTATTGACGTGGATTGAGAAGTCTATCCCGTGCGAGGGAATGTTGAACCCAGGTGGGTCTAACGACAGGGATCAGAGCGTCGAAGCAGGAGTTGTATTCGGGAAAGTCATAGGTGGTAGAGATAACATGGGTTATGCCTCGAAGGTCCAGACGAGCTTCTGGATAGTTGTCAATCACAACCTCACCATCGTGTAGTCTCAGCTCGGCTGCCATCTACTTTGGTTAGTGGAAATTGCCAGCCTTAACTCCTTGAATGACGTCCTAATACGTACCGACTCGGCATCTTTTTCTGAGAAGGCAGCAGTGCGAATGATCGCAAAGCTACATTGGGCGAAGAGAGCCGGCTTCTTTTCCTGACTCGCAGCCCGATCGTTATCCATGTTCGCAACGGCGGATGCGGTTGTGCCACTGAAGCTACGAAGTATGACAGCCGCTGTCCCAAAGAGAAATGCTCATGGATTAAAGATAATTCACGTTATTCAGGTGCGACCGTGGGTTAAGGTGCTCGGAGTTGGAACATCTGCATAGGTATTGAGATGTTAACAGCGCATGCGACGCGGTTGTCGAGACCGGGATAGACGCGTTTTATCTTCGTCAGACAAAAAGAAGCTCCACGCCTAGTCACGTGCAAGGCAGGCGGCTTCGTCACCCTCCGCTGCCCCTCTGCTCTTTCCAGCCAATGTGTCTATTTGTTGGACATGCCCCTCGTTATAGTATTTCAAACCGTGGAGACAACAACGCCCTGCTCTCGGGGTGTCAAAGAGATCGCACTGCGACGGGCAAATGACTGCAAATTGCCGACATCACTAGCCACCTCCACAGCCTTGGTGGGTTCCGGTTCCGAGACGTGGCAAGAACCTCGGCAATTCTCCAGCTTGCGCTCTCGAGTCCCAATGGCACGGCAGAGGGACCTGTTTTCGTCGCAGTTGAGAGCGTGCCCATATATTCCAGCGCTAGAACCTTGTTGGAGAGAATTTCTTCGACAATGGCTGGACATATCTCCTTGTTATCATAGTGCCACTGCTGGGATCCCGAAGGAAGACTTGGTCCCCTCCTTACAATGTCGTCCTTCCACGTTGTCGAACACACCATTCCCTGTCAACATATCCGAGAGTACCCCCGAGCCACAGCGGGCTCACAGGAAGATGTGTTATACTTAGCGGTAAAGCAATATATACCAAAAGACAACCCAAATCCGCAGCCTGGAGATGTCACAATCTTAGGAGCACATGCAAATGGCTTCCCCAAAGAGCTGTATGAGCCGTTGTGGGATGATATACATGCTCGGTCAAAAAGTCATGGCTTTCGTATAAGGAGTATATGGATTGCCGATGTCGCACAACAGGGACACAGCAGTGTACTGAATGAGCGATTGCTTGGAAACGACCCTTGCTGGAATGACCATCCGAGAGATTTGCTGCACCTGATCAACCTCAAGCGCGACCAGATGCCGCGGCCTATCATAGGCATCGGCCATTCAATGGGAGGAAATCACTTGTATGCTCATCCTCCTATCTCAGCCCGATGCCTACTGACTTCATCGCAGGGTCCAATTAGCATATATCCACCCCCGTCTTCTCACCACTTTAGTCCTTATCGATCCTGTGATCCAGGTATACTCCTCTGTTGCACCAAATGCGGGACCGAGCCCAGCCCGTCTTTCCACATTCCGCCGCGACGTCTGGCCTTCGCGTGAAGAAGCTGCAAGGTCATTCAAAACCAGCAAATTCTACCAAGCATGGGATCCTCGTGTCCTCGATCGATGGATAAAATACGGCCTGAGAGACATGCCCACCCTCCTCCACGCTGACGAATCAAAGAATAAGGATGGTTCTCCCAAGGTAACGCTGACAACTCCAGTTCCACAAGAAGTCTTCACTTTCCTTCGCCCGAACTATGAGGGATATGGGTATAACGGCCATCCAGTAAATCGCAAAACCCACCCAGATTTAAACCCAGCCCTGCCAACCATCTACCCGTTCTATCGCGCCGAAGGACCCAATACCTTCTTCCGCCTCGAAGAACTCCGACCTTCCGTGCTCTATATTTTTGGCGGAAAATCCGACGTGGGCACCCCAGACGCTTGCAAGGCGAAAATGGACCATACAGGCGTCGGCATTGGAGGGAGCGGAGGCGCTGCTGCAGGACGGGTGCGGAGTGTGCTCTTTGACGACCTGGGCCATCTCATTGCCATGGAGGCGGTGGACCGGACGGCACAGCATGCCTGCGACTGGATTGGAAGTGAGATGAAGGTCTGGCGTGAGGATGAGGAAGAGTACAATCGGACGTGGGGTAAGAAGAGTCTGATTGAGAAGCAGAGCCTCGATGAGCAGTGGAAGAAGATGATTGGCGGGCCGTATGAGAGGAAGCCGAAGGGTGCAAAGTTATAATTGCAGCTGTGCCCATCCGGGGTTGTTGACTCGGTCAACCGAGGGAAAATGTTGCTCCACGTTTCACCAGGCATGTCGAATCACAAGTCATCGGACTGTCCGAGATCCAATGAAGTGGGTTCCTTGGACGCTTCTCAGAAGGCAAACTATGTGGTTACCGCGGGAGGGACTGTGGCTATGGCAAATTCTTACATGTCGATGGAAGACAGGACCTGGAGGGGTACCGTTCCGCAAAGCTAGACACGGGATCGTCCTCACAAACAAGATTGGGACATACTTGGACGCTAGATCTAGAAGCTATCCGCGGTATAGAGTACTTCAGGGATATGGATAGACCCGCGGAACGAATCGACGAATCATGTTCATGTGGGCCGTGCCCAGTAGGGCAGAAGTTATATTTCTATGTATGAGTGTACATTTAATGAATATACCTGTACTTGGTACATTGTATCTTGTATATACCATAATAGATTGCCTGCTCGGGCGCAAAGTCGTAAATCATCGCACTGCATTGCGGCTTCATCAATGCACTCACTCAAATGCTCATCCTGCGCCTCATGCACTTCCTTCTCGATCTCAGGGCATGACCTTTGCCATCCTCGTCGTCACATCTGCCCGTCGCGCTCTTCGCGCTCTCCCGTGAGGGTAGGGCTTCGTGGTCCTCGCTTGCGAACAACAACATTGGCTCCATCTCGTCTTCCCGGACAGGATGCACGCCATCGTACCTCCCCTCGGGCATCCGTCCCTTCCTGTACCCCAGGCCCTCTGTCTCCTCGACAATGTCCAGATGTCGAATAATAATCCCGACATCGTCTCCGGTGCCGTCAGTAGCGCCAGGCGGGTCTCTGACGCCGTAAATCACCTTCTGATTGCCCAGGTGCTCGGCGATCTCGTCCCCGGTGAGCAGACAGCCCGTGTCCCCCAGCTTTTCGACCACGGGCCTCAACAGCCGCGCCATGCCCAGGTAGCTCGTGTCCTTGATGATGGCTTTGTTGGCGAAGGTGATCACCGCGAGGAGCACGAGGCCTTGGGCCAGCGGGATGCCGCCTAGGATCGAGCCGGCATATTGCCATTGTACCGTCAGGATCTGCGCTGGGGCTGGTCCATAGCCTGTGACGTTGAGACGCGGGCCGTCCGAGTCGATGGCCGAGATGGCTCCCGCGGTGAACTTCATGACCAGCAGCGCCATTTCATCTTCGGTGATGTTGCCCGGCGGACTCCACTGGCTGGACGCAGGGTAATTGACCATTTGGATCTGTGTCTCCGGGGCGTCCGACGTGGCGTTGTCGCTTGACTCCATCAACACCCCAGACCACCCAATCGCGCCGGCCAGGATCTGCGCTTGATCGTCGGGGATTTGGTATTGGTCGGGATTGATGTACAAGTCGATGCCGTCCACGTGGGACACGTAGGACAGGCAGCTCCAGAATCGCGGTTTGGGCACGCTGGCCGTATCGTTGTCCGCAGTCTGAAGAGCAAAGATTTGTACGCATCGAGGCCCGCAGTCGCTCGTCATATTCGACATCCAAGTCGTCGCGCCTGTTGCGACGTCGGGGATCCACCAGGTATTCTCCTCCCCGTTGGCATCGACCCATGTCACATCCCAGGCGATCGAGGCGTTGGTTGTTTGAAAGCCAGCGTAGCCACCGTACGTGACTGGGAATGACTGGCACGTCGCAGTGGTGTTTACCGTGCGTTGGGTCACGACCGTCAGCTCAAAGGCGAGCGGTGAGCGGTCGATGAACCGATACCAGTACAAGTTTCCGTCGGTGTAAATTGACTGCTGCATGCCAAAATACTGGTCAAACGAGGTCTCCCAGACGTCAAAGTCCTGACCGGTAATACCCCATTCATTGGCGACCGATGTTTCCGCGAGAACGGACGCTGCGCTTGAGTCATTGCCGGCATAGAGAGCAGTAGTTTCGGCGTTGCCGATATAAGAAACGTCGGCGACGCTGACGTTTCCGTACGTCAGGCGCACATAGTCAGAACTGACATCGATCGAGTAGGTCAACCCGAGCAAGGCTGTGAAGATCAGCACGGCGATGTTGATCAACAACCACACCACGGCGAGGATCTGCGTCTTGTTCGGCAGACAGCTTCCGCGTGTCCGCCCGGCCCAGATCAGGCGGAAGACCTTGGACTGGCTATCGCAGTTCAAGACCAGCTCGAAATCCTGAAGGGTGCGATATCCCGAGGCGAGAAAACGCCAGCGCATCATTTGCGCATAGCCTCTCAGTGAGGAAGCAAGATTGAGGCCCAAACACAACGACAAGCCGGTCACCAGGGCGTTGAAGATTTGCTTGCGCGTCGTGCTCAGGCCAGTTATCAAAGTGGAGAAGCCGTACAAGCAGCCCGCCAGCAGGGCGCAGATAATAGCAGTAACGAGCCACTGGAAAGTGCTGTTGATAAACAGCCTCCGTCGCTGCCGACGATGGTCAAAGTAGCGGACACTGGACGTTGGGGGCAAGTTGGAGCCATATTTCTCGGATAGCTCATGCTCCCACGGAGCTGCTACCTTGGGGACGTCGAAATGAGAGACGGCGAAGTCACGAATGGATGAGGCAACTTTGTATAGCGAACTGTTTGTTGTCCGACGTCCTACGATCACTTCAGTCTTTTCTGATTTCACACGGGTCCAAGCGAACTTACTGGGAGGTCGACGTGGATCAGGAACGCCGAAAGAGACACTTTCAATTGACTTGCCTGAGATTTTCTGACCATTGACTCGGACCCGTTGTTTCTTCGAGGATCTGGCTGCACCATCGTCGCTGGTGAAGGCCGGTAGAGGATTGTATGTGGAATCAGGGATGGTGTTGGAAAATTGCAGGGGCTCCTCCGAAATCGGGCTGGAAGTCAAACGAGAGCCCCCAAAGAGGTTCAAATTCGCATATCGAGAGCTGAGCATGGTGGGATCATCAGCAACAAAGGATGATCACTCTTCCATCCTGCTTGGCACTGAATAAGATGCACGGGGAAGTGAGTGTAATACTAATGAGGGAGACTGTCCATGAATGAAAGCGAGCTCTACCCAAGGGAGAGACACATGGGGAGGCGAAGGAAGATCTAGTGAAGATCTAGTGTGATCCAACGGAGCGGGAAAGGACAAAGCGAAGCAGGACAATATAAAAGGAGGCGAGCTGCAGTACTGGCCTGCTGCTGATTCTCTTACATCTTGCCACGCCACTCCAGTCGACGAGACAAAGATTTGGCTCTTGTATTCCATTAATTGGGGGCTGGATTCAAAACCGGGGGAGTCATGAAGCGTGGCACGTGTATCCATAAATCCGGGTCAAGAAGGATTGCGCCGTTGTCTGAGCTCTAACCTCGTGTAAGTGCAAGCGCGGATTACTTACCACTGTCCCACAAGCATTGAGCTTCGGACAACCAACGTCGCGCGAGGATTATCTAAGTAGGACGCATAGATTCCTTCGAGAGCCTCATGCGACACGCAGTTAAAGACGGCGGCGTATCCGGCTAATAGGAGCACGTGGAGTCAGCCGCTCCTTGATCATTTCCCTTAGATTATAGTACTGGGTAGATATCTTGAGGGGATCGACGTGGGATTCAGCTCAGACATGAACGTGAGCTCGTGGGAAGGATTTGGAGCCGAAGGATTTGGGGGCCGTGGTCTGGTTCGCAGGTTTACCAACTAGCGACTCGCAGGGTGGAGATACGGTGGACCCGACAGTATCTGGTGTGTTCTGCTCGACTGGATCAGACAAACTGGATGGCGATGGCGATAGGTTGGAGAGACAAGGTGGCGCACAAGATAGAACGAACGGTGGCGTGGATGGTAAGTAAATGATCGTGACTTGAATGCTCTTGACGGAGAAGCGTGAAGCGGCAACAAGAAGATCTCTGGCAAGTTTTGAAGCAATTGGACGTCATGCATCTTACCCAGTACTGGGTACACGGACTGGCATCGATATACCTTGTACCGAGTACCAGAGGCTAAATTCGACCTCAGTAAGCTCCCGGTGGCAGCTAGGGCGGGCAGCTTTGGACTCCGACCAAAACGAACACAGTGCTTGATGGCACCCAAAGTCTCGGGTAGACTTACTTCAAGAGATGTAACGGTATGGCTGAGCTAATGACTTTGGTGGAAAATAAAATTTTTGGTTAAGGGGTTTGGCTCAGACTACCTGGTACCCAGTAGTAAGTTAACAATTGCTCGTAGGATCACTTAACGTTCACCGAACGAAGGACGACTAAGCGCTAATTTCTTCTTTAAGCGAAAATACGAGGTATAGGTAGGTAGTGTTAGGGATTTCTCGGTAAAGTAGACAGGGTCTAGTGATAGGTGATGATAGATATCCCTGTAGTATATAGCACATGCTGTACACGACTCCAAACATACAAGAAGTGAAGAGAGGTCGCGCCTCTCCTGTGGAGAGCGCGGTAGTGATGAGACCTCGCCAAGTCGTGAAAACTCTTGGCTGGACGCCTTATTAGTCTCTCTGAGTTAGTGGATCAGTGGACACTAGTTATCGGTTGGCCCGATATTCAGCCGACTCCGTACTAGCCTCGATAGGTACTGGGCACCTTTTAAAGGTAGGTACCTGTAGGTCTCTTCTTACCACTATTATGTTAGACAGGTCCCAATCCTCTTTATTACATAGCATTTATCATGCCCTCCATTGAGTCACAGCAATAGTGCTTATCTGGTCATGTGACCAGCCAAACTCCTTAAATTCCTCACCTCGTGCTTCGCCTCCGAATCCCTTTAAGGCTAATCCTCGCCACATGTGGTGTGCGCACCTACCTCGAGGGTAGGCTTTGTTACCTTCTTCCTGGCCAGCTTACGGCCTTGGCACCTCGTGCCATACCCAGTACTTGGTAGGTATACGAGAGCCACAGCTCTCTGAGACAGAAAATGACACGCATCCAGATTCTTGATCCTGCCCCCCATACCACACCGTCCGTCCATGCAGCGCTCTAGACCATCTTATAGCCTTCCAAGACTCCTTACACTAGCTCCTAATTCCTTTGAATCCTTCGGGCATTCAAGAACAACGAAGTGAAGAGAAATGTCTTACCAAGCTAGCTATATAGATCGAGCGAAGAGCCCAAATATCCCTTCGACCTCTTTGTCTGTCGTCTTGGACTCCGCAGTGCACCAAGATGGCAATATCAAGGACTCTTCAATCTCCCCTACGCGTATAAGACATCTTGAAGCCTCTTGAAGCCTCTTGAAGCCCTTGAAGCCCTCTTTAATTGTCCGTTCTACTTTTCATCGTGGCTACCACGATTTCCATGGAATTGTGAGTTCGATAATTCTCCTGACCAATCCGTTGTCCACGATTTCCTTGTTCCAAATACCCCAGATTCCTAAACGGAAAATGATCACCAACTACGACTTGTTTACTCGATGTTGTCTGTGCCTTCTCAGCTTGACTTGGCAGTCACCTTGTTCCGCCTCTCCTTCCGGCAATTGAATTTCGTGAGGAATGAACTGGATCATGTCTCGCTTAAGACAGGATCACGCGGGTTATGAGATGCTGAATCCCAGGGGATTTGCTCCTTGTGCTTAACCAAGTCCTTGCGAAACTGTATTCATTCTGCTGAAGTCGACTCATATCTAACTATTAGCGTAATCTATCCAACCTCGCTTGCCTACCCGTGACCAACGCTTAGACATCGTGCATCCCTTCGCTGCGTATCAAGCATTCGACTCGCCCTGCTAGCGCTGTCCCAGCAACAGATCTTCACAGACAGTCCTGATCCTGCTCATGTCTATCTGTGATTTAGACAACCGGGAGCATACTGCTGCACGGTCCGTTAGAGACCGGGAGAGTATTCCGAATCCATGGATTGCTTGTTATCTGAGCAGTTGCCTTCTTGTCAAACGGATGGTTCGGGAAGGACGTTTACCTAATCCTCACATTTTCCCCGACATATTCCGCGGGCACATTCATTAAGCCACCAGGATTCCATTCTTACGACGTAGAGCCGCTACGGTCGCGATCCAGTCCCTTCTTCATTTCCTACTCTTCACTCTTGACTTTCAAAGTTGCGACAAGCGCACGTTATCCTTCTGTTTGATCTGAGTAAGGATCGCCCTGGTGGACTGCGCGTTTTTGCTCACAGACACGATCAGCATATAGTCTCGCGTGAGTTGCGCGCTGCTCGAAGCATGGTCGAGAGTCATTATATAGAGTGCCCGGATGCGCCCGTCTGTCGTGGAAACATCGACTTTCATCGTAGAACACATGCCGCAAACACATCTCAAATGTGTTGAGGGCTTCTTCCGCGCTTTCCCTTCTTGGAAGAAGTCAGGGTTCTATTAGGTGGGCGCGGATTTTGTTGACGAGTCTTGGTAGGTCTATCTGCAGCCTTGCGGTCGTCACGACACGCGACCCGTATATAGCGAACTAGGAAATCCCATCGATCCTAATCAAGTCCGATCATAGCCACGTGTGGACGATGGGTATGCATGGATAAGACAACCAGAGAGGGAGCACTTGTTCACAAAACCTTGGAGTAAGCATTCGGTCGACGCAGACATGGGGGTTCGTTCAGAGGTGGGTGCCTCGATTGGAGCTGTACCACATTTAGAGTTTCTATAAGTCCAACACCGGGATCTTGTGCACAAGCGCGTAAATCACCTGTACCAACTGCACAAAGTTAGCACTTAAACGAGGTCCGAATATAGCGTGCGAGATGATCCACTTCAATCATCAGTCTCACCGCTAAAGTGTCTCGGCTGGAAGGAGAGCCCTTCGGAATGGGACTCCCGAGACCACGCACCTCCTTTCTATTCCTCAACTGTAAAATCAGATGAATGGAACATCAGTGAGGCTATCATCGTGTTTTTAGCATCTGTTGCGAAGATAAGGGCATATAGCGTGTTGGGTAGGTAACCAAGCCGCGACCAGTTAACTCCAACCTCGCCTTAGCCCATGGTTTTAAGGGCGCCAACGATAACCATCTCCCACAGCAACCTGGAGTCCCTAATTCGATGCCACAGGAAAGGTCATAAGCTATGGGACCCGCCCTTCGAGACAGATGGCTGATTTCAATTCTCAAACATTTGTGCCGTCTTCCAATTCTGGGGACAACGACATGGACTTCCCAATGTCATTTAATGATAATATAAGCTCGGCTGTCGAACTTACCAGCAGGGACTGGCCGTCACTTCCATCTGACCACATCGGGAGAGTTGATGAGGCGATAAATGACCAAGAATTTGCTGGGGATGACTCACTCTGGTGGTAGAGGCCCACTAGAGCAAATCACTAGGAGCAACTACAACCCGGTGTAGTGGGAGGGCAGCCAGGCATTTAGCCATGTCAATATATGTTGACGTCGATTGGTGTGTGCGCTGACACAATCTGTGCAATTACAGCGTCCCTCCCTCGAATAAGAGGCATTTCCCAGGTGGCCCAACCATTGCACATGACCCTCGAGATATATGTGCCACCCAGAGATAGATGATTTACAAAGCAGAAACATGATCCCGGAGAACAGATTCTGTGAGGACTTCGAAAAGCCGGGCTGTAAAACTCTCCCACGCCAGGTTAGACGCATCTGTCTACCTGTATTTCGTTTACTAGATGAGTGATGCTGGGCTTGTGCACTGGTTGTCGTTGAAAGTCCAACGTCAAAGGGGTGATTCTAGTATTTCTCATTTGTTCTCCACCGGCAACTTGTGTGTTTCCTCTCGCCAATGTCAATGTGGCTCGGTTGTTCAGGAGCGTCCTGACGCCCGTGCGCACTCTGGGCGGGCCTTTCTTAATTGCAGAAATTGCACACGAAGAAAGACGGTGCCGGGTTACCATCGGGTTGGGCATAGCACCCTTCATATCCAAAAGCCACCGTCGTTCCGGGCCCTTGGCAAGGGGGCTGAAAGCTGTAGTAAGTGTTTACGATATCTCCAGTAACGTAGCTGGGAATGAAAAAACCAATGGCCACCGATGCTGAGAGTGTATTTTTGCAACAGACATTAGTGTCCGCGTTGCGGATGGTGGAAGAACTCTCGCCACAGCTGCTTATCTATAGAATGTATAAAAAGAGGAAGGGCGTTTCTCAAGCTCGTCTTAGTCTTCGTCGCGGCGGGCTGGGGCGCTGAGGTTAGTGATGTCGCGCCGGTGGGCCGGAATTGTTCCTTCGTCGTTAGATATAGCCCATCTGGTTGCATTCCCGCTGCATTCCCGCCGCTTGGTGGCATCGCTGGATGATGGGCAGGCCAAATTCGGTCCGGAAATGTGGCTCTATACTCCTTTACAGGCGAAGCAGTCATAGCATTCAGTAGCTTGGAGCATTGATCAGCACAGAAAGCGCGATGCAATACCTTCACCTTACATATGGCTTGTCAACGAGATCATGGGGATCCATGGTTGGGCTACAGTATCCGATACGGGAATACCCACTACCCACTGCGGTGACCGTGTGAGGATTGAAAAGTATGTCAAAAGTCTGAGACGTATTGTGCCGATGTGACAGAATGATTTTATATGGGTTTGACTTGGATGATAAAACGGTGAAGACGCTCGAATTCCAGGTAGAAACTTTAACTGACTTTATTACCCTCTCCAGAGACAGTGGTGGTAATACGCCTCAGTGCTCTATAATGAAATAACCGGTTCAGTCTAGAGTTTACTATTTTAGCTATAGCTCAGCTTATAATAGTGAGATATATAGCTGTATGTAACGAGATATAGGTCGATTGACTATGGAATTGTGGAATGACTATCCTATCAATAAGCACCACGACCTACGCAATAACGAGTTAAGAATCGTCTTAGGGATGATAACCATAGTGTAACAGAGCACTTCAGGGTTCGGCATGCACGTGCAACAACGCACAGAGGCCTGTCCAGCAGATCGGGAATCGAGAACGCTTTTCTGGTTGATGCTGACAAGACAAACACCACCCAGAAGGGCAGCGACTAGGGCTACGAACACCTAGCACAGCGGAGGCATCGGGGAACAGGACAGGGCTGATAAAGCACTTAGGAATTAGGTAGACTGTGCCAAAAGAGCGAATTCATGATCCTCTTTTAAACTGTCCAAAAAATTGGCCCTCTGATAGCACTGTCAACTGTCCTTCTCCCAGCGATCTAATTAGGTTTGACATGTGACCTGACAGACCTCTGCCTTGCCAGTCCACCGCCAGCCCAGCACAGCCACGCCGCCTTGTTACAGTACATTCGATCATCTCTAGCGGTGAGGGCATAGAACAACTGTTTTCCTTCAAATCAACGATTTGCAGTACGGCTTATAGCGCCGCGTCCTTCCAATGCCGTGTTTATCGAGGGTATGATAGCTCAATGGTCTGCGACGAATCCGGAAATAACACGAGGATGTATGGAACAAGAACATTTAAAAACTGGGGCTTGTTGGGCCAGCGAGGTCGACAAGATCATAAAATGCTGCATATCCAAACAGTGCACAACATCTGTCAAAGATCTAAGAGGATTAACGCCCATATCTCAGCCAAACTATGTGAACATACTATCGAGCTTAAGGCAGGCCGCACTCTTCGGTACCTGCTTCGACAAAACCCTTTTACAGCCCTTGCGTAGATTTCACAGTCCCAGAGCTCTGACCCAAGAGAGAAGATCTATAATTGTCACAGTATGGTCAAAGATTGGAGAATCTAGGAGATTGAATCAAAGACCGAAGAGTCTATTCGGGATGTCTACATTAATACTCTCGTTCGAATCGTCCAGTATGACACAATTTTAGAGCTGCTATCAAGCGTTCGCTACGACAAGCGAATCGATCTTCCCAGCCGACTCCCTAACTGGTCCGTGTTCGATTTTCACCGCTATGGAGTCAATAACTATTTCCGCTGTCATGGGCCCTTGAATGCAGATCTCTTCTAGGCCGACTCCACTCAGCGCTCCCAAATGTCGAACTCTAGGCGAATTATATATGGCCGCTTACACAGGATTCCTTCACAAGCTTTGTTGACTTTCTTGTCGAAGACTGTGTGCCTAGATATTAGTGACGCGACCGACAACCGATGCGACAATCACACAATTAGATCGAAATTTTAACACATTGAAAGCATGGCGAGTCAAGGTCGTAATTATCTTTATTTCCTGGATGGTCTAAGGATCCTTTCTGAAAGGCATTAACAGCTCGTGTCACTTGTCTTGGAACAGAAGCTGACGCAGATTCGAGCATGGCTTCGACGCGTATCTCGACCTTCACGACGCGAAGATTGCTGAGGCTCGAAGCGAGCTCATTCAGCTAGACCCTAGAAAGGTTCCATACACTCATTCGGCTTCGGAGTTCCTCTTTGAGCTCATCTGGGCTCCTATGAAGCAAGGAGGTCAGCCCTGGGCGTAATGGTCCAAAGACGAAGCTTTTCTCCGCTGATGCACCAAATATCAGTAAGGATCGCGGCTTAGCATGGTCGCGAAAACAGGTAGGAGGAAGATGAGAACCCATTCCTAGGTTTTCGCACGCTCCAGGTGAGTTGCACACTTCTTCAGGGCCGCTTCTAGTTCGAAATGAGCAGGCCGCTCCTTTGGCGACTCATGCATCTTCATTCTCTGTCTCACGAAATCAAGAGGCGTGGAGCCTGCACGGTTCTTGATGCTGGCTGTCGCTCCTGCGGCTAGCAATGCGAACACACCCGGATAATCTCCAGAATACGCTGCCAAATGGAGCGCCGTATTGCCCAGGGCGGCGTCAACGGCATCCAGGATACCGTGGTTGTGAATTTGAGGGAACCGTGGCCAGCTCTCACTGGCTTCGTCGAAATCTGCGGAGAGCAAAAATGCCAGCATCGAGGACTGGCGTGATCCATTTTGCACCGCAATGTGCAAAATAGTCCCTCCGTCGTGTTCACCTTCACGAATATTCATGTCTGCATCTGGAAGCATCAACAGCGACACCAACGCTTTATTGCCTAGAGCGACGGCTGTTGCAAGAGCAGTACGGCCCTCCCGGTCTCGAAAGTTGATTTGGGAATTTCGCGACAGAAGGTAGGTGGTCATGCTGACGTCCCCAGCGATAACTGCCTCATGAAGTACAGTCAGTCCTTCGTCATTATAAGTGCGAAGAAGGGACTCCGACTCCGAGGCGAAATAGCTGATGATTAATTTGGCTGCGGCCAATGCACCTGTGGACGCAGCGACATGCAAGGCATATGAGCTTTCTTCCGTGTACAGGCTGTTGTCTCCACCTGAAATTGGCTGACCGGGGCCAGAAACGTGTTGGAGAACGAGTTCAACCTTCGAGGCGTTGGCTTCATCAGACCCGCAACTGAGAACAGCAATTGATAAAGCATTGGGAGGAAGTATGGCGCCGCAATCAAGGAACGCCTCGATGACATAAGTGTCTTCCCCGCTTTCCTGGAGGGCATACTCAAAGGCTGTTAGACCGGCCTCGTTCGATTCATCGAGAGACAGGTTTTTCCTTTCGGCTGCAGCAATGAACACACGAATGGTATCTCGGACGGCATCCTTGTACCGAGCACCGTGTAACAGCCACCTGCCATTTGTGAGCGGTCATTCTTACGGGAGAAGCCTCTGGAGGAATATACCGGGACAGAGGCGGAACATGAGATCCAACATGGTGCATGGCCCAGGTGCCACTTGATGAGCCTGACTCTGAAACACTCCTGAGGTTAGCTCCGTGATCTAAAAGCAGCTCTGCTATCTCCGCCAGGTGCAATTGGGCTGCCAGCTCAAGGGCTGTGTCCGAGTCATGGAAAGGCCGAATCTCAGTGTCTGCACCTAGACGTAGTAATGTCTGCACAGCCGACTTGTTGCCGAGTGTAACAGCTGCGTGCAATGGTGTCCCACTGATGCGGTGAGAGAAGAAGACGTCAACAGTTGAATCGAACCGACCCATGGAAGCGTTCACATCTGCCCCTGCATCAACCAGCATGTTAGCAATAGCGTCAACGTCTGGACCACTGAATGCTACGACATGTTGTGTCTCCAACTTTTCGATCTGTGTGTCAGAGTTGTTGCCACCATCCGAGTTCCGTTCTTGACTTCCAAACATGGATAAGTAGTGTAGCGGCGTGACTCCTTTAAAGTTGCTCACTGCCACGTTGACTCCTCGTCTAATCAGGTAATCTGTCATTTGTGAATCGCCGTGCCGCATGGCGAGATGAAGAAGGGTATCACCGTCATCATTGACTGCGTTGAGTGACCACCCGTGGCTGATAAGCTGCTTGGCTATTTTGAACATTCCGCAAAAGACGACATGGTGGAGGGCAGGACTGTGTATAAGTGTTCCGTCCTCGCATTTGAGCTCCACTTCTGGAACTTGTGGTGATGAGGAGACCGCAGTTTGTTCAAGCGCAGGGACCAACTTCCTATCGTCAAGTCCTCCATACCATTCACCTCGGTACCTCAATAGTGCTCCTTGAGAGGCAAACCCCATACCTCGCTCAAACATACGTATTTTCATCCAGAAGTAGTCGGCTGGCTCTGTGTCCACCCTGGATTCGAAATCCCTGTCAAAAATCGCAGATAGAAGAAACACACTCCAGCGAAGATCTGTATCGGAGTCGCTAGTGGATTCAGAGTCGCCCTCTAAGCTTCCTGCGTCTTGTATAGGTTCATCCAGAGCTTCGATAGAATCTGTACCATAATCGGCTTCTTCATGATTCATGTCATTTGCGAGGTCTTCTATATCGGCGTCCGAGTCGTCTGAAGTAGCTCCTTCAGCATATGAGAAAGAGCGTACGATATCTTCCAGATCATCCTGGTCAATAAGCTTTCCATGAGATTGAAAAACCCTTGGACAGATTAGCTGGGCGACGTTATCGCCAAAGGCGGCGGACAACTGGATGTAGTGTAGGACCTTTTCATAGTCTTTTTCACACCCTAGGCCAACAGCATAGTGAGAACTGAGTTGCAGGGCTGCTTTGCCCCTTTGATAGACTGATCCTTGCCGGTCGTTCACTTTGTCCAACAGTTGCTGGACTAAGTCGCACTGTAGAGCCCAGGGGATGTGATCAACATTCTCCTAATTTGAAATTTTAGAAGGGTCAGATATTTCTGATTTTTGAGCAGACTGACTTTGGAGGGGATGCTGCCAAGGTGGAATGGCTGCCACAAACAGGTCTGATCGTGATCTTTAACACTGTGTATCTCATTCAGCTGGTTTTGCTAGCAAGGAGAGTCTCAGCATATTATACCTGTTCTCGCTCGGGTGCCCAGAAAGAATTTTCCACACTTTGCTCATTGCTGCATATTCCTTGCGATAGACATTTTCTCGGTCGATAGGCAGAATGGGGGAATGGTCAATCTCCACATCTCTCACGCAAAAATCAAAAACTTCTATTAACACTGAAGGTTTCAAGCAGTCACTGGTGTTAGAAATGACTTCCAGGTCCCACTGAAATTGCTGTCGAAACCCCTCAGTCCCCAAACTGTCCAGACACTCCACTTTGTCTTCTCGGTCCGGGTGCACGAGACGCAAGTAGTACGGTTCTCCCGCGCAAATTGACCACAGCACCAAACCGAAGGAATAGATCTCGACAGCGGGCATTAGATGGAACGGGACCTTGCCGGAATACTTTCGTAAATAACCAGGGACAAAGAGGGGTGTGCCTCTGTATATGGGGGACGAAATGCCATCATCAATATCATCATATATAGTATCCTCGACAATAGCGCTTCCGAAATCTGCAAGCTTAGCCATCAAAGAACATCCAGCGGATGAGTGCATTGAGAAGAGAAGAATATTGTCAGGTTTGACGTCGCCATGTATTACCCTGCATCTGTGAAGAATCTCCAAACCCGAGCAGATGTCGAGCATCAAATTCTGTCGCTCGAGCCAATTCTGGTGAGACATCGAGCAGGAAGCACTTGAAAGATATTCAGCCAGCGATCCATGGTCTGCATGTTCCAAGACGAGCGAGACGGAAGGTCCAAAGGCTGTGGGGTCTTCGGATTCTAGGAAGCCTAGCGTTCGGACAATATTGTCGTGTTTCAGGAAAGGTGGATAGACCGAAACCTTTAGCTCCTGGAGCACGGCTCCGTCGTAGAGTTCGCCTGAATCTTGTTTTGTGCGCAGTTGTTTGACCACCACCAAATCCCCGCTCTTTGTATCTTTGCACTCGTCTACCTGAAATGATGTCCCCAAACCCAGAGGCTTGATTTTGATCAACTGATCTTGTTGGTACACTGGTAACCGACTAGTGGCTGCGAGGAAGGCCGCGACGTGTCTAGATGGTCGTCCTGACGACTTCGAAGTTGAATGGGCCCCTGCATCCAGCCAGAAGGGAAAGGCGGCTTCTAGTTTAGCCTCCATCAGCGCATTGCCAATGCCACCTACGCGCTTGGGTGAGAACAGCAGTGCTTCGAAAGAGCAGACGAATCATATAACTGACGAGCGCGAAAGTGCATTTGGAGAGAGAAAGGCGAGACTCAACCGTAGCTGCGAGCTGAAGAAGCTGAATTGATGCCTAGTTGCACGTGCCTACTTTTGGTTAGACCGGTTTCCACGCAGCCTTAACATCATCTGACTGAGAATGATGTCTCGATGTTTCCTTTTTCTCTCCTTGGTCAATCGAGACCCGGCTTTTCGTCATGAATACTGACCATCTAAGGCGGGAGCTACAAAGTGATCTTTCGGCGTCTTTTCCGAAACAGGGTTTCCCTTATCAAAATGTGGCGGCGCTGGTTCTCTATTGGACTGAAGATGATTTCCTGCCTCCTTGCAAAGATGAAGCCCGAGAAGTGAAGGATCTTTTCTCCACCGGGCTCGGTTATGACACTGTTGTCTTTCCTATACCATCGACGAATTCACGAAATGCATTGGAGAAGGCTGTGGTCGACTTCAAGTATGCATACGATCTGGGCTCCAACCTCATGATTGTGTATTACTCTGGCCATGGCGACCCCGACGACAAGAGAGGGAAGGCAGTTTGGGCGGCGTAAGAGGTACCTCCACCTTTGAAATTTCCTCTTTTAATCCCTCGCCTTTATAGGAAGGCCGTGGGTGAGCCCACAATTGACTGGTTCGAAGTCCAACCTCATCTGGAGAACGCAAGCGCCGATGTACTCTTTATTTTCGACTGCTGTCATGCATCGCAGGCCGCAAAGAATCGAAGAAAGGGCTCATTAGAACTTCTCGCAGCTTCATCGGCGGGAGGACAGACACCTTGCCCTGGGAAATATTCATTTACGCGCTATCTTGTGGACGAACTTCAGAAAGCACTTGTTGAGAAGAACGGTCTGCAGGTAGATGAGCTGCACGCGAGGATAAACAGGAGAGTTATGCAGACAACCAGAGTTACACCGGTTCATTTTACTCTCCGCCCTGATCCGGCACCAAGCATTCTCCTACGACCTCATTCCAGGTCCCCGAGCACAGCATCACCCCTCAGTGCCTTTACAATTACAGTCTCGGTTCTAGAACCTCCAAGCCGTCATAGTATCCATAAACTAGGCGATTGGATAAAACGGACAGCTCCCAACAGTATTTCTGGCGTCAGAGTGGATCGTGTTGTCGACTTATCTGGCAGTCTCCGTGATTTCCTTCTCGATGACGGCAAGGCTGGCATAAGTGGAAGATTTATCGACTCACTGGGACCGAAAGATAAAGGACTATTGCTAACAGATCTCAACAAGCTCAGTCAGAACATTGTTGATGCCAGGATATCCGACACAATTCAAGTGGCAGGATCGGGGATTACTACATCAACTCCCGAACCTAATACGGCTACTGATGGTAGTACATCGCTAGGATCATCCATCTTCCAAAAATTTGAAATGACTGCCCAAAAGCTCTTTCAGAATGTCTGGAATGTAACATCAAAGCACCCCACCTTTCAGGGAGAAGACTTGAAAACACTTCAGCAAAACGAAGTTGCGCAACAAGCAGGGCTGACTACCACGATAGGCCTGAGCTTGCTTGCTCGAGATGACGAGCAAGTGGCTGATCCTGAACCAAAATTTATACCCTGCGAAGACTTTATTCACAAACGGTTGCTCGGAGACAACGATCGCTTTTCGTTGGCCACTAAAAATGATCAGTTGGTCATAGTTGAGATCGTGAGGTATCTACCAGGAGAAGACGGGTCTCCCCCCCCGTCAATGAAGGCACAGTTTCCGAAGACGTCGTCTTTTCTGTCAAGACCAAAGCCTGAATATTTCAAAATCCCTCGCTGCATTGGGTATACCCAGGACAAATCTGAAGGGTGGTATGGCCTAGCATTTAGCATTCCTGAAGGGAGCTCTACCCATTCGACGCTTGAAGGTCAATTCAGTCAGAGTCCGAGAGTCCCGTTGGAAATTAGGTACAGACTCGCTCACAGGATAGCTCTTTCAGTATACGGGTTACACAGCGTTGGATGGATTCACAAAGGCATACGCGGCGAGAATATCTTATTCTTCCACAAGTCAAAGAACAATGACAAGACGTCAGCACTCGATCAACCATGGTTATTTGGTTTCGAATACGCACGTGAGACCGGACAATCTTCCAGTCAGCAACCCGAATTTAGGATGAACAGATTGTTATACCTGCCGCCTTCGAGATGGGGAGCGCCGTCGGCAAAATTTGGGCCCGAGCATGACATTTATTCCTTGGTAAGTCAAAGGTTTCTCTGCCCTCAACGACCTGTTATCGGACTTACGGTAGACAAGGGGGTTCTACTTCTCGAAATTGGGTTCTGGGTGAATGCAGAGAAGTTACCAGGAACGAGTATGAAGCATATTCGGAAGGCAGAAGATGCGCAAGCTCAGTTCATCAAGAGTGCTGGGAAAGATCTCAGTCACATCATGGGAACAAAGTTTGCAGGAGCAGTTTCAACATGCTTGAAGGGCCATGTCGGCGAGCGACGACTGGACTTTCGCAAGGATATAATCGATATTCTGGAGGGTTTGGCATTGCCTGAGTAGAAAACAACGACCATTATTAGCCAGAATCCGAATATCGTGTGCGACGTGCTCGGAAACAAGCCATCTACCCCGTTTGGATTGTCTCCTGCTGAAACGATTCTCTTTTATGATTGGTTGCTGAAATTAGCGAAGCTTACCAGGGCGATGCAGAGCAGCTGAGCCTGAAGCTGAGGCTGAGACTACCTCTTCATGTTGCACGTGCTAGATCCGGCATGCGGAAAGGAGCGGAGAGGTAACATTGCTTGTCTCGCTTGCCGCTTTTCCTTTTTCTCGATATTACTATTATCCTAGGATCACTATCATCACAGTAAACGTCTAGCGAACGACTCCCTCAAGCAAGCAGCCGTCAAGCCCCCTAAAAACACTGACCATGGATGAAAAGGACGAAGAGAAACCGACGAACTCGATGAATGACCAAGAAATGCTACGTAGCGAAGACTGGAAAGCCCGAGTCACTCGACGAGCAGATCCAGCCGAGGTAGGCATTGTCGAAGTTGTCATGTGTCTGTTGCGCTGACCCTGTTGACCTGCAGTGGCCTACAGAGTCCTTATTTCAAAATGGGGAGCAGGTCTGGGTTGCTCCACCCGGATCCAGAGGAGTGAGGGGCCCATTCAAAATTGTTGGCGTCCTTGGAAACGAGCAATATCGAGTTCGCGACGAGCGACTGGGCACTGAGGAGCAAGTTCCCGGTGCCAACATGAAGAGGCGACCTTAGAGCTTACATAACAGGATCCGGCCACCAGGCATCCTCTTATGCTGTGGCGAGATGGAAAGGCAGCCGAAATATTCGACCTGTATCTATGAGGCTGAACATCAGGCAGAGCGCATCTAAATTAAGCCAATCACGGGTCGGACTCAAGACAACACATCTGTCTTGGATTTCCGTCGCTATCATTCAGCATATCATCGATGCCCAGACGGATTGATGAATATAATATGATATAGTATAATATAACCACAATGCCAACCTCTCTATCTTCCTTTCTGATACCTACAATCAAGCGATTACTTCAGAGTGCCAAAGCATCCATAGTCTCCCTCCGAAGTAGGGGGACAGATAATGGGATTCATTCTCAACCTCAATCTCAGCCTCGTCAGAGTAGGTTCATCACCAGACGCGAATCCGATTTGTATTAATGCGACATCCTCCTAGTCGAAGACTATCCACTCGGCTATCCTCGACTCGCCGCATTCTTTTCCAGTAATCCAAGCTTCAGCGTTACCCGTCGTTTTCGAACCTTGCACGCCCGCATCATTCTCCTTCAGCAAGCCCGGCTCGCTGATCTGGAGGCTCAATTAACCAGAGAGGACGAAACTGAAGAGATAAGGCTCTATCTCAGCTCGCACAAGCAGGACGGCAACGAGCGGAGGTTGGCGATCATCGAGGAGGCCAGAAAAGGGCTTCAGGAGTACGGTTCGCGTCCCTCATAGTCTACTCGTTGTAAACCAATTACTCGTCCACCTTTTACTCATGAGGAGAACAGAAGCAGCTATATCTAGCTATCGAAAAATGTCTATGATGCCGACTCCGACAGCCCTCAACTTGCAAAGCACAGTTAACTGGATGCACAACAACAAGCCTGTTGTGAGGCCCGAAGCCGGCGTATTTGATGACACGGATGATCTGGTTGCTTTGGAGATGAACGAGGACCGTGGCCCCTGTGATGAGACGGTTGAGTGGCTGCTCCAAAAGTGCCTCCCTTCGAAGCTCACAAATCTGGTAAGCTGGAATCTCGCCCGCTCTGTCCGCTGGAGCCATGATTTTCCAAGCATTCAGATTTTATCCGTATATCTCTCATGCGGTTGGCTGACAATCCGATCATCAGGTCTTCGCCTCAAAGGTAAGTGTTCCTCGCGACCGTGACCCTATATTTGCCTTTTCTAACTTAGTAACCGGCTCCAAACAACAGTCTACACGCAACCATAGTAGAGACACCTACACTCACCTCGACTCTCCTACCCGTGTGGAACAGTTCTCGCGTCTCATCACTACGCTAGCCGTTGTGATCTTGCTGTTCTTGCCCATGATACTCTTGTACAATCTCCAGACCGACCGTTCGCGTTTTCTCTGTATCCTCTTTTCCGTCATGATGTTTACGTCTGTGTTGGCGATCTTCACCAAGGCGCGGAAGGCAGAAATCTTTGCGGCTGCTGCTGCGTAAGTCTGTTCCTTTTTCCTCTTCCTCGCCACTGTGAATCATCTATTCAGGACCGGACTTTCTGACAGACTGGACATAGATATGGTGCCGTTCTGGTCGTTTATGTTGCCCCTCTGCCATAGACAGCATTGCTCTCATGCCATTGCCATGGAAGAAACTGTGACTACCCTGATGCTCTGAGAGACATCTTTTTCAAAACAATGTTGCTATTGCGGTGATCATTACAACCGTCACTCAGACTATTCGTTTCCGTGTCGGCTAAGATTAGTATTAAAGTATGACGGGAGAAAGAGCTGAGCTTTAAACAAATGTTCAGGAACCAGATGCTGCCAGAGGTACGAATTTCTCAAGTGTTTCAAAAATCATGAAATGGTTTCAACATTGACGGTCATCACCTTGTTCATCAGTCCTCGTTGTCTGAGGCACGCTCGCGGTAACTCGGTGAAACGCTTTCCACATTCCAGTGGATGGCGTTCAACCGGTCTGATCATAGTCGTCATAATTATAGTAATATATTAAAGAAGCGCACTTCCTTCTGCAATCGACCATAGGATGAGGAAAATAGGGCTTCCCGTCCGCTCAGCCGTACTCAACCCTCATGCCGGTTGGTTAGTACTGAGGTGGGTGACCACTTGGGAATCCTGACTGTTGATTGTTTTTGCTGCAAAAGATTTTTATGGTTCTGCTTATTGAATGACTGTGAGTGAAAAATTAGATTTCTGCAGGAAACTAGGTACGGATGAGCGAATGAAATAGCATCTAGTCTCGTTGAATATAGGTGACTTAGAGGTGGGAGGATTTTGGGTTAAATTGGGGCTACACTTCAAAAAATGGAGTAATTTAAGCCCCATGTTCAGATATCCCATGCGTAGCCGGCTTTGCTGAGGAATTTCTTGGTATTTGTCCCATACCCTTGTTCATAGATTTTTTTGGCCTCGAGAGCAACATTGTACTCTGTTTATCAGTTCAAATGCGTGATTTCTATAGAGGTGGATATACTAGAGCCTATGGCACTCCTGCTTAATACAGATAGACATTGTAGTGTAACAAGGCAAAGTGGCTATGCTGTGCTGGAAATGGGGGAATAGCAGGAAGGCGATTTGGCTAGCCACATTTTAGGATAAAAATGGGCTAGTATCCTGGCTGTGGATGGGAGGTTTTAAGGCAGAATGAAGCAACAGTGAATTCAGAAATCAAGAAGAGACCATCAAAACAGTGGCACTATGCGTAGAAGGATCAAGGTTGTGTCAGGAGGTAATCGTTGCCAACGTGCTTGACAGATCACAATGCTGGCGGTGTGGCATTCTTTACAGTTTGAGCAGAGTACCGAGTATTTTATGGTTTCTGATATCGCCTACCGATTCCTGAGTGCGTCCCCTGTCTTTTCTTACCTCTCAACGCGGCCGCCGTGCTGGGCACCCATTTCTCCAGCCACTGCGTCCCTATGGGGGGTGTTGATGGTGGTGTTGTTTTGCCAGCGCCGACCAGAAAGGCATTCTCGATTACCGACCTGCAGGACTGACCTCTGTGCGTTGTTGCATGTGCATGCCAAACTCGAAAGTGCTCTGTTACAATAAGATTATCGACTAATATTATCTTATTCTTAACTTACTTAATAGATAAAGAGAGAAAGTTATTAGAGTCTCGTCTCACTCGAATCAGGTGGAAGATGACCCTCCATCTTTCTTAAGTGTTGAGTCGTTGTCAATAGGACTAAGTGAGGAGAATAAGGCATTTAGTGACTAGCTATTTACCACGTGGCGTGGATTCTAATAGTTTCCCTCCGCGTTATGCTAAATATGGGGGCAATTCTTGACCGTTACTACTGCTCGACAATGATATCACGCCCATAACATCATCACGCCCACTCGACTGACTCGTTCTGATAAGGCGTTGCGACGACGAGGTGGCTTGCTTCCGATAGATGACCTGTATCGGTAGCTTCAGAGTCGCTTTTGAATGCCATCGTCCGGATCCGCTAATTTCTATCGAGATGCTGTATCTCTTCGAAAGGAAAGGGAATGAAAATGTTGGAGGCAATGCTGGCGAACTCCTTATTGAGAGCCATATTGGGTAAGTTGCGGTCCAGTCTCTGGAGTTTGGGTCAGCTGAATTCGCCCGTTTCCAGCCCGACCAAATCATCTTCAATTGATGGCTCGCGGCGGTGTTTGTTATGAATCCCATTGACGACAGCCTTGAAAGTTGTCGTATTGTAGGAGCTGCGTCTTGCATATGCATGCACACAAAGGTTGACGACTGCAATTTCCACTTGATTACTACCTCGAAATCATTTGGTTCATAACCTTCACATGGTTCCTGCGTTGTTTGCAGCATGACATGAAGCACGATTTTCGTATTTGCACAGCTGTCAGGTTCGCCGAAAACCAGAGCCTCTGGCTGGGTGGCTTCTATCGATATATATCCAATCTTTTGAACGAGGTTCTTCCGCACTACAATCTCCTGACGATTGCAGTACTCCTCACCAAAGTCTCTAAGGCATATCGGAGGGGATATCTCGCCGCAGTTGAAGATTCGAATCTTTCGTGAGTGTGAGACGAGCAAAACGTCGTCATGCCAGAGCTTGGTGTGCAATGCATAAGATACGGATGCGGTAGTCTTTGGTGCTGAGTTCTTCCAGGTCAGCGCTGCTGAAGATTTCTGTTCAAGTGACGATGGAAGTTGTTCATGATTGTCACATCTGTACAGACGGGACCTGTCGTCAGGAACTTCTAGAACCGTGAGGGGTATTTGGAAATTGCATATATTCATCGAACAAGGCGAGGATGCGCAAAGTTGTCTTTGAACTCCGTGTGTTTGGACGATATCCAGAATCCGCTCAAGTGTCAGCTTTAGAGGGAAACCCCAAACGAACAAGTACCTTTCGACAATATGTTACGTTTCTTGCATCAATGTGCTGACCAACATTGTCTGCCCAAACTATGGAGGTCTCAACGTGACCTAATTAGAGTCTTCAGTAAAATTAATACATCAAATTCACTTTGTGACTCACCAGTCAGCCGTATCTCGATAACTGCTTCCAACAGTGAGTCGACGTCCACCTCGGAGGTCAAGTACACAGTGCCCAAGATACCATCATCGGTTAGAAATGTGGGCGGCTCACTCAATGCGCGGCTCCCGGACCATGAAGGAAACACGATAGTCAGCAACATCCTATCAGTACCAGACACTCCTTGGACTATCGGGCACTGTCGGTGAGGTGGTGACTACTAGCCATTGATTTTTAAGCACCGGGAGTACGCTTTAATATACCCTTCTTGAGGGGCTAGATGGCCGTGTAAATATCTATCTCAATGACAAGACTAACAGCCGAGCCGTCACGATTGGAGAATCGAGGCAGAAGCGCATATGAGGACCATCCCCATGTTCAACTTGGCCCCGCATGCGATTCGGAACAACCTTCTAATATGGAGAGGGCAGACATAAACTCCGCAAGTGATGTAAATTCCTCCAAGTAGATGTCTGCCGACTGCAGGTAGGTAGACCAGTGAAGACAAATGCGCATTTCTCTAGATGATGGTATTTCAAAGGGTGCATTCGGACATCGTAGGATCTGAACAATGGCTAGCAATGGACTCTTGCGCAGCATTAACTTCCGTCCAATGCGCTCCGTAGATTGATAACCAACAAACTTAAAATTAGGCAGCTGAGGTAGCTCTATGTATGGACTCTATCGACCGATCCGCAGCGGGACGGGCCGAGTAAGTCCCCACTTCACTTATCCACCCTTTTTTGAGCTGCCTATATCAATCGTTCTTTGGCTATTCATGTCTTGAGAGTAATTCCAGTGTTGCCAATGGCCATAACCCACGTTGCCCATGCAATACCACTTCTTGTATATCTTACGTAGGTATTATAGCCTTCGGCTCTCATACTCTTTCCGGCATCCTTGTACGGCCTTCATGTCCTTGCCCAGTATCACTGAAGCCACTGGCAGAACCACGGATTTTCTAGACCTGGCTATACATTCACAGAAACACCACTCATTCGTCGGGTTTTTCTACTTTGATCTCGTAAGGGTGAAAAACTCCTTTTGCTCAACTCGCTCTCTTCTTTTTGAATCGGCAGCAATTCTCACCACATAAACATTCCTTGTCCAAGTAACTCCAATAATCATCGGAGTAGTCAACCGTAATCTCCTCGCCGGCGGAGATGCCTTTGGACACCAGCACGACCCGCTGCACACCAAGCCATACGAACCGTTCGTACTGCGAGTTCGGCTGGCAGGAGTGGTTCACAAAGCGGGTGTAGTTCCCTTGACGGCCTTGCCAGATCTGGTATATACCCGCTGGCCCAGACATTTGCATAACGTCGAGATCTCGTAGGCCTTTTGTAATAACACCGACAAACTCGCCGATCGCCGTCCCGCGATCGAATGGCTAGATTTAAATGTTAGCCCGAACAAGGAGATGTAGAAGAGAGAGATAAAAGTACACAGCAGGCAAGTAGACCATTGTTTCTTCCATTGTCAGTGCGAAAGATTTGAACTGGACATGGTTGGCGTGAACCGCTTCCAAAAAGAGTGGGAAAGCAGTCGCATTCATTCGTACTGGGGTCATTAGACTGTATCGAACTGCATTTCGCGCAAGAAAACCGTTTTGGTAACGTATGTTGGAATTTTTGAGTTTCCGTGCGTGGATCGATTGAGCCCCAGGCCTGCTCATCTATGATGCTATCCTCCAAGTGCTCGAAATTGAAGTCCGATGTCCACTGTAGATAGGTATCGGCCAGTGGGATAGGCGGATCGTCTTTTCCAACGACCCAGTCGCAGGGATGTCCAAAATATGTGCAAGTTGTTTGTTCTCCAACAACGGATAGCATTTGACGCCATTCCGGGTGAATAGTATCGGCAGCGACTTCGAATCGCAAACGGAGTCTCTTCAGGATTGTCATGTTTTTAGGGCAGAATCCTAGACGATACTTGCAAAAACGATAGAGGCCCATGCCGGCAAAGATCAGAGAAACCCAACCTCCGGCTTCTCGAATAATGTCGTAGCCGCGCCAAATAGCTCTAAGGATGTTCTGGTTAGTACTGTGTAGACATGAAGGATGGAGCAGTGGAGGGAAGCAACTAGGGTAAGATGGTAGTATCAGCCCCCACACTGCCTCTTTTTTTCTAACATTTTATTCCGCAGCTCCTTCTGAGTCCATCCAAAGTCCTTGCTTGCGGCTGCAAGAGCGTGCATGCGAGCCTTGGAAATTGATTGGTTGGGATTTTCCGCCATAAGCTTTTGCACTTGCTCGTCGTAGCATTGTATCCATCGAGCCTGTACAATGACTTCGAGCGATCTGCAGCAACGGCTTACTTGTGTGATTTGGCGACAACAGTGATTCATGGTCTGAAAAGCAACATCTCCACCGATGGCTAATGGGAAGGTAACTCCTACAGATGTTGACGACCCTGACTCATGAAGATTGTGCCATAGGTCAGCCTCAAGAAGGCCAATGTTAGCTTATCATCGGAAATCTTGGAGGATCAAAGATAATATAAAGTGGCGGAAGTTCCAACAATATGAAAAGAAGAAACCATAAAGCGTTTGAGTTTTGCGTTGAATGAGGACATATATCTTACGTGATCTGGTGGGTTTAAGTGCACAGAACCGTGTATCTGCTTCCAAATACCGACGACAAGTCGTTCGAACGGAGTGTGCTCCTGCTGGGGCGTGATGGCTTGCACATTTCGCTTCGAAAATTGGCGAACGTTGCTCGTCAGGCGGCGTGATGAACCCTTGTCGAGCGAGGAATCTCGGGTAGTAGGCGCAGACTTGGCCAACCTCAGACCGCCGACCATTCTTCGGCGTTTGAGGTGGCGAGCGCTACGTTCCGGAGAGCCATCATCGGAAACGCCGCCTGGAAGCTGGGGGTTCTGTTCGTTACAATTCGACTGTTGGCGTCCAGCATTTCCTGCTCCTTCTCCACTATCAGGTCCTCTTGAAAGTGAGGGCAGTTCAATAGTCGCCTAAGCCGAACGAGCGGTTAGCTCAACGAGACTACAAAGGCGATCAGGGGACTCACCAGCGTAACTCTTTGTGTCTCCCTTTGTGCACTCTGTGGAATGCCACTGTGTGCATAGTCGAGGCAAGCCTCAAGACGTATGCGAGATGTGCCGCCACTCGCTTGCGACGAAGACAGTGCATCGTTCACTGCCTTTTCAAGAGGAGTCCGTATCTCCGTTAAGATCTGTTCATAGAGGGACGAATTTGAAGCCATTCGGGGTCAATCTCTTACTCTCTTTACAGAGTAACTAGGGAAAAGACGTCGAAAGAGAATGGATAGTAACATGAGACTGGATATGTACATATTTGTTCATACCTCGATACCTACGTATTGCGAGGAGTGATCCCCTTCATTAAGTTTAGTGGCTTGGCAGATGTTTAATGATGTAATACCACAATAGTTTCTGCATCATTTTTTTCTGCCTGGGCAGAATTACTTCTGGCTTGGCCACATTCTCCTGTTCCATAGCCTCTGCCACCAAAGGTCTCAGTGAAGTTGTCTTCCTCTCGATAATGGAAGGCTGCCAATTCATTTGTCCATTCAGGATACCTCTAGAATCCGTGAGGTGACCTGAACCGCCCGTGTTTCTTTGGAAAAGCAGGCTCAGCTCGAGATTTATTCGTCACCAATGCTCGCTTTGCCCGCAGAGGAGAGAAGTAGTGAAGCAAAGGGCCCGCAATGTGCACTGTTGGCTTGGGACACTGGCGTCTAGAATGGCAAAATCTACCGGGCATCAACCCCCAATCACGGCCTCTACAGCCAAAGCGAAAACACGCAAAATGAGTCTACTGCAAATCCCCACCCAGAATTCCAACTTGCTTGGCCTTGCAGATCCCAATATCGGCGGGTACCCGACAGCTCTGGCTCTCTCCATATATATATATATATGTAAGGATTTCGAGCCCCTGTTTCCATTTACGCACAGAGAAATTGCAAGGACCCAGAATTCGATTGAAGTGGCCCAGACTCCCAAGCTCTCACAATGACCTGCGAGGGCCAGAATTATCGTGGAGTCCAAGGTGACCCGTACAAATGGCGGGACGACCAGGGATTCTTAAGCCGCTTCAAGCAACCTGGTAGAGGAATGTACCACGATGTCCGCCGACGACTTCCCTATTACTGGAGTGACTTCAGAGATGGGCTCGCTTATCGCGTCTTTGCTGGCACGGTCCGCATCTATTTTGTCAACTTACTGCCGGCGCTGGCGTTTCAACTTGACATGCAACACAACACGGGCGGGTTTTATGGAATCAACGAGGCTATCCTCTCTTCAGCGCTTGCTGCCGGCGTCTTCAGCTTATTCTCCTGCCAACCTCTAACCGTTGTCGGTGTTACCGGTCTCATCTCCTTGTTCAACTATACTATCTACGACATAGTCAAAATTTATGACGCCTCTCTATATCCACGCTTTATGGTTTGGGTTGGCATCTGGTCCGCGACTTTCCACTGGGCCGCCGCATTCCTTAATGTCTCGGACTATATGCGTACCGTCACTGACTTTTCTTCTCAAACGTTCGGCCTATACGTTGGCACAATATACGTTATCAAAGGTTGTGAAGAGCTAAGTGTCGGATTCGAAAATGGCCAGATCACGAACGGGTTCGCTTCGTCCCTTGTCGCAATACTCTACTTCCTCACGGTGTATTTACTAGAGCAAGTGGGACAAACAGCCTATACCCGCGGGTGGTTGCGTGCAATCCTCTCAGATTATGCATATCCATTAGCCACGATTTGGTGGACAGGCTTTACTCATTTCCCCGGAAATCTCTCCAAAGTCCGCTTTGAATATTTGCAAACTACCCGGTCGTTCTTTCCTACCGTCGAAAGGCCATGGGTTGTGGATTTCTGGACACTGCCGACTACCTGGATCTTTATTGCAGTCCCTTTCGGCTTCCTTATGACACTCCTCTTCTATTACGATCACAACGTCTCTTCTCTCACAGCCCAAGCACGCAATTTCCCTCTTACAAAGCCGGCTGGGTTCCATTGGGACTTTTTTCTTCTCGGCTGCACTTGCTTTGTTAGTGGCATCCTAAATATTCCGCTTCCCAATGGCCTTGTTCCACAGGCACCAGTTCATACCGATTCCGTCACATATTATGAGGATACGCCTTACATCATCGAGACAAGAGACGAATCGGAGCCGATAATAATTCGCAAGGAGACCGTGGCCCAAAAAGTGGCAGAGCAACGCGTTTCACATTTTGTGATGTGCCTTGCCCTCTTTGGGACCATGACTGGGCCTATTCTGACTGTCTTATCCCTGGTGCCTAGGGCAATCATGAGTGGAGTGTTCTTCACGGTCGGCATGGGCAGTATCCTAACGAATCCGATATTGACTCATAAACTGGCCTTTCTACTCCGTGATCCGACATTTCAACGTCCTTCAGACCCGCTGAATTCAGTACCACGCCGCCAAATTTGGCATTACCTCTCTTGGCAATTCCTAGGATTTTCTACCACCGTAGCCATTAGCCAGACAATTGGGGCTATTGCGTTTCCTATCTTGATTGTGGCCCTGATTCCACTTCGTTGGAAGATCCTTCCTCGTTTCTTCACTGCTCAAGAATTGGAAGCCATGGATTGTCTCACCGCAACCGGGGACGTCGTGTTGGTTTCCTTAGGAGGTAAACCAGAAATGCCAGAGACAAAGGCGGAGAAAATACGGCAATACTGCCCACGTAGTGACGCCGAGGCAGGAGTTGCAGGCCTTAGTGGTGGCATGATCAGAGAAGATGAAGGGGAGATTCGACGAAGGGAAGAACGCGAAAGGAATTCGCGCCTTCTTCGAGGTATCGGCTATGATGGTGGAGCCATCACAAGAAGGAGATCCAGTGTCGTCTCAAGAGAAGACTCTGAAAGCCGTCCAAGGCGCCATGCTGTCCGGTCCATGTCATCTCACAGATCACCAGCCCGCTCCCACAGACAAGAATCAAGTTCTTCAGCGGCCGAATTCGGCAGGGATAGCATATCCCTTGCGAGAACCAGACGCAATACGAGTGTTAGTGCGAAAGGCGATGACGCTTCTCGAGCTGATGCACTAAACGACTTCAATGAACTTCGCCGGACTCGCTCTCTGCCAAAAGAAGCTCTTGCTGGAGAAGACAACTCGATATGACAAGGTCTTTAATATTTGAGAAAGCAATACGAAGGGCTCTTGCTCTGGAAAAGAATCAGATGTGGAGTGTAGGGAGATGGGAGTGATGTTACAAGATCGGCAAGCCAAGGATTTTCGCACCTTTATAGCTGTTTAATCCGCCTCTATTTGTTCATGAAATGCAACATCATTCCTGTCATTTTGCAGTGTCTTGTAGCCTTCTGCGGTCTGCGTGATAGGCTCAGTTGTAACCCATAATGTCCTTGCTGTATTCACAATAGATAGTGCAGACAACCTCCTGTCATCTCAAGCTTCTTCGACTACCCCCCTTTGAGGCTCGCTGGCACCGAGACCCTTTTTGAGAAAAAGAAACGGAGACTTTCAACAAGTCCGAGCCGCAGTCCGAAGGAGGCCAGGGAACATGCTTTGCATCCCTGATATCACTGTTCTGCTCAACGTCATGGCATTAATATATGTAAGCCACATTGCAACAGAACGCTATTGTCAACGGTGCTAGAAAGCAAAGTCACAAGACGAATTATTTTAGAAGGCAGCGCGGACTGCGCGAACACCGTGAACAAGTGACCCGTGGACTGCAAGTGGGAAATCAATACACTTGATACCAAAGCAATGTTCACGACAGACAGAGCAATTTTGAAAGAATGACTTGAGCTAGTAATCACATAGAGGACTTGGAGAGTAGACAGAGTTGCCCTTCGATACCAAACCTTGAATTTCATCACAATCTGCGGGGCCCTTGCAACTCTCCTAGTCCCTATGGCTCCGAGTCTATCGCTTCCACATTGGCCATGAGACCCGCTTTGTTTCGATGACCAGAACCGTGTGAGGTACCGCCGGTACACGCAAGATTGTTCTCGTCTCTTCTTAATACAACCTGGATAGATATTTTCGATACCCCTTCAATTCCTTTTCCCCTCCTCCTACCACCACCGGTGTCTCCCATTCGGCATGCCGCATTTTTTTCAAACTGCTTCAGAATCACCTTTTGCATGGATTTGACGCCTGGGTTAGGCGGATTCATCAGCGTTCCGTTGACCGTGCGATATTCCCAAGGCAAATCTTTAGAAGATTCCCATAGTAGATCTGAACATCCATAGGCGTGATTGAGAAGGACGATCATAATGTATTGCCGTTCAAATCGATTGCCAGTGCCGATGTTGATGGGTTCCAAAATGTGCGAGAGCTTTGTTTCGCGAGGGCCGTAATCTGGGAGGCCCAGTCCAGCAAATGTGTCGGCATAATGCTCCGATACCTCCAAATTTTTCAAGTGGATCTTCCTCCGAATCTTCCCAGTTCCCGTCCAAAACTGGCTCATTGCTACCGGGATCCTAATCCTTTGTGATCTACGAAGGACAGCGGGTGCAGCCTATCTCTTGCGGCACGGCTCGATCACCATCCCAATCTAGTATACCCGTGATATTGCAGTCGCCGTCGATGAATATATTCTGATAGTTGTAGTCCCAGAAATCGATCTGAAAGCATTCTGGTCGTCGGAGATATGGTGGGATAGACTGCATGGCAAGCATTATGACCTCAAGACATCCTTTGGTCGAGAGCGCGGTCTCAGGAACACCCTCGAAAGTATCCGGATTGCGGCCTAGCCATTCGTCCAACATGTTGAAGGGACCACACTTATCCACATGGATGATGCCGTGCTCGATGTGTTCTTAGTCGGCCTCGATCACAGTGTGCAACGGGCCAATGTGAGACACAGTCTTCTCGTCGCTCAATCGTAGCGTGCCGATTTTGTCGAATCGTGGTGGGTGCAGTTTTGCCATGACATGTACCAGGTTTGTGAGGATATCAGTCGCTTTCTTCGGTGGCCTACTCCTTGCCGTGACATCGGCGGCAGATAGATTCACCACCAACAAAAGACATGAGGGCAAACGGTGCCTCAACTCTGTCGCAGGACGTTCCGAACCAGAAGACGTCAAGAACCGGCATGTCCAAAGTTCTTCGAATATATCTCAAAGTAGTATAGGCCGTGTTCAATTTGTCAATGTCCGCCTCTCGGACTCCTGTACCTCGAATCGGGACTCTGGCGACCCCATTAACGTTCTCATTGAACCCAATGACATAGACGAGGTTGTAGGAAGCATGGAAAGGGTCACCCGGCGGTATGTGGCACGTCAGGAAGCAGTAATAAAAGGTTCATGTTGGAATATTACCCAGGCAGCGACATCTTTGTGTTCCGGGACAAAGAATGCAAGTTGGCACCACAGCAAACACAATGCCTTTTCGCCGTCTGAAATGTAATATCTTGGAGGCAACCACCATATTCCCGGAAGCTATGTAGCGAACGCATAGCTTCCAAGAATAGCATATATTGACCAAGGGTTAGGATCTTTTCTCTTCTCCAGCATTTCAGTCACTAAACTAGCATTTCTTATGCCAGAGTCGGCAGAAAGGTGTTTCAACTGCTGGATGACCCACTCTCGAACTTTTGTCTCGGGACTTGCAAAAATAGCTGCCACGTAAAACGGAAAGAGGAGTGTGTAGCCATGTAGCTTTCGAACCGACGAAGAATGATTTGGCTTTTGCGTAAATTGCGGCCCTGCTGCGCAGATTTCTTTTGCCATGGTATCAATTATCACGGAAGCGAAGGCGATATTCAATACGTGAGGATGGACGCCAATACAGCTCGAGCTGATTTTCACATATGTCGCTCGTATGAGACTGTTCAGCAGGATTCGCATGATTCGGATAACGTTGCAGGTCTGCGCTGTAAAATAGTCTGGATAGACGTCGTAGTATTGCTCCAGAACGCCAGGAGAGCCCGTCGGGACCGAAATTCTGTGAGATATCCAAGATGGAGGCATGTTTCTGGCAAGGGAGCTGAACTCGCTGTCCAGTCTCTTTGCTTGCATAATGATCTCAGAAGGTGCGATAAGTCCTGTTTTTGCTGCCCCACGAAAGTTGGCATACTTCATCACTAACCCAGAGACCTGCCATTTGGGATCTTTCGGGTCGACATGAGGTTGTAAGTCGGAGCGGAGCTTAATCAATGCTGGTGGAACTGGAGAATCTGCTGCAACACAACTTATGAGCATATTCGTAAAGAGGCGAACTGATAGCCGCAGGCCGATGTAGGTTTCCAGCTGCTCTAGCCGACGGAGCTTGACAAGGGCCAGAGCACCCTTGACGTGACTCATCCATGATTCAGATGAGATGGGATTGCGGTTAGTTATCTTTTCAAATAGGTCGAGCAGAAGTACTGCCAACAAGGTTGAGTCACCCGCGAGAGACTCTGATGTACCCACGGCACTTTTGACCAGCGAAAGAGCAGACAAATACATTTCTCGGGCTGACTTGAAAGCCACTGGAGCGTCATACTGAAAGGAAAAGAAAGCTAAGCTCACAGCATCAACACTGGCTGCTAAGTGCTTGTCCAATGGCGATTGTCGACCGATTCGTTCTAGCACATCATATGTTTTGGCGAACCCAACGACGTAATGAGAGAAGAAGGCCGCCCTTGCTTTGTCAATAAGGGGGATGCAGATACTCATTGCGATTGGCGTCGAAGGTATACCTTGGGCTTTGCGCATGATTGTCTGGCTCTCGTCTCGGATTCTCAATTGATCAGGATCGCGGTAGCCAGAGCACGTTAGACCAGCTCTCACGCATTGACCGCAAGCACCTTTGTGCAGATCGCACTTGTAACCTGTTAGCTACGTGATCTCAGTTCACTACACGCAAGGGGTCCTACGCGAAGTTTCCTCCGTCTGCAATGAGCGCATGCTCGAGATGGCTTTCCGGTGTACACCATGATCTAATAGGGAAAGAGTTTCGGTGTTGTCTTTGATCTGGCCTTTTCTCCATGCTCTCAACAGTGTCGAGAGATGGAAATGCCTCTGGTACTCGAACAGGAGTGTCGGGTTTAGTCGGTGAGTCGTTCTTGGGGTCAGATAATATCTCCACTAGAGCCTATTCCACAAACGGTAGGTGTTCCGGTGATGTCATTTGCGGCCTAATGTTGTTCCGCCATCATCTTCTCGCTTTGGTCTGCATCTGCTTTACATGCTCCCTGGGTCATTCAAGCCGTTGAACGCAACGACACTTCAATTTTGGAATAGCGAAATGCCTTGAAGTCTTCTGACTGCCGTAGTTAAACCAGCTCCACACGCCAAAACCTAATCTTGGCAATTGCTTTTATCTCCGTCTTCCTGCAGGAGACACGGCACTTCGAACAATTGGTAGAGTGTTGTTCAGCATACAACCTCTCACCAATGTCGCTGCTCGGAACTTTGTGCTAGGGAGAACAGTTGACCCATATAAACCTGAGGAGTCCGTCATGAATGGAAATCTTAGAGCATTCCACTCTTATTAAAGCACCTCAGCACAAAATTAAGTTCCTCTTTGGACAATATAAGTATATTCACAAGCCTCAGGTCGGAGCTGCTATGACTTTCGCATACAAGCAAGTCCTCCTCGTCGGGGCGACGGCCGGAATTGGTGCTGCGATGGCAGACCGCCTCGTTCAGCAAGGTACCAAGGTCATCGCTGTCGGACGTAGACAGGAGCGACTCGATTTGTTCGTCCAAAAGCACGGCAAGCGTAAGGCTGGCGCCATGAGATTTGACATCCGAGAACGGGAAAACATGGACAAGTTTGTGCGGGACGTCACAGAAGCCTATCCAGACTTGGATTGTGTCTTTCTAAACGCGGGAGTTCAGAGCCCCATCGACTTATCCCATCCAGAAAAGGTCGACCTGGCAGCGTTTCACTCGGAGGTGGCAACTAATTTCTCATCTCTGGTGGATCTTAGCATCAAGCTCCTACCATTCTTGATGAACAAGAGAAAGGAGACCAGTCTAATATTGTGAGCGTCCCAAACGAACAGTGAGATCATGCCAGCTAATATAGGTAGCACCGGGTCAAACCTAGCACTCGTTCCCGCCTCCACCTTACCGGCGTACTCAGTCTCTAAAGCCGCACTAAACGCCTTTTTGCTGTGTCTCCGCGACCAACTGCGGAACTCTTCAGTCAAGGTTATCGAATTATCTCCGCCTCCCGTACAGAGTAGGTATTTGTTTGCGTCCCTCTAGCGGCATGGCTGACAACTGGAAGCCGAACTTCATGACTACCTGGGCGCTGAAAGAGGGCGAGCACTAGGCATGCCAATTGACGAATTCACGCAGGCAGCCTATGAGGGGCTTGCCTCAGGAAGCGATCAAATTGTGATTGGATCGCCCGGACCAGCAGAGATCTTCAATGACATTGTCGAAAAGCGGAGGATGCTTTTTCAGAATCTGGCGAAGAGGCTGAGGGGAGATACTTGAAGCCAGAACAAACTATGGCTTGTATGAGGTCCCCCGCAATGGGGAGATGATCTGGTCTTTGTTCCATACAGCATTCTCCGCTCTAGTCGGTTCGTTATACTTCAGATACAAGCTCACCAGTCCTGGCTGTGTTGCCGAGACGAAAGAAATGCCTTTGTCACAACTCCTAATTCTCTTTAGGCCCCTATTTATATTGTTAGAAAACATTTCTCAATCGTGGATCGTCTCGTTCGGTCATTTCTTTGTAGAGAGTCTGATGTGTCGTCAAGCCATGCGACCATGGTCCTGTTCTTCCTTTTCCAATCCTCCCCAATGGCACAATCTTCGGAATTTCACTTCCATCCAATCCACCATTATCGACACAAATTCCTGTTTCCTGGAGAACCAGGCATTTCTAACTCTTACTACACTCTTGCAATTCTAAATTCTAATCCCGCATCAAAAATGTCCACACTTGGATGCCGATCTTGGGGGGGGGGGGGACATCGCTGCATCAGGGGATGCACCTCGCGCTCGACTAGCGTACGTGTCCGAAAAGGGCACTAAGATTTGTGTGAGTTCTGCGGTGCCCATGGTGAAATCACGCATGCCTGCACTAGCTGCGGCATCAAAGGTGAAGAAAATAGGTCCTGTAAACCTGTCAAAGTCGAGCTCGCGAAGCATGAAATAGCTGCTACTAAGAGATAAGAAAAGAAGACAGGCAAGGAATCCAGCTTGACCGAGCAAGCCATCTTGAGGAGGGCTTTCACGAGGAAGAAGTGGTAAGTCCTTTTCACCACATGCTTCTCCACCGGGGGCCAGGAGCGTCTGTTGACAAGTTAGAGTTGGAGGCAAGTTGCCCAAATTTCCTAGGATATCTGACGTATTTGAAACTGTTTCAATAGTGCAATTTTTGAAGTATTTTTTCCAACTTTAGCAAGGTCGTCTCGTATGCGGATATAGCAAAACTGGACGAGGCTATTGAAGAGGGAGGATCGAAGGCGAGGTGGGATGCGATTTCGCGAAGGTTGCTGAAGGGCAAGTGTGACGGCGTACTCTCAGCCATCTCTTTTATCTTGGCTACTGGATTCCCGTTGAATGAATTTGTCAAGACTTTGATGCAGTGACTCTTCTCCCTTATGGTCAATTCTTCACCAGATTTGATTCTCGAGTATTCCCAAGCAGCCATGCTTAGCTTATTCAGCCCGAATAAGGAAGTAGTTGTTCATCTCCACTACGTCCACAGGCCTAGGTTAGTTCGTCGGAGGTTCGTAAGAAAATCCAGGAGGAGTGCCACAGTTGACGCGTATTGCTTCGAATCAAATTCTAGGCAAGATGAAGGGCGATGAAATGATCCA